CCCACCCCGTCCCCACCCCTCCTGTAACCCTGCCTTCCTCCTCATTCCCCTCTCTCTGACTGTGGAGCAAAGCTGTCTCACTCTCTGATTCTTTGCAGATCGAAGTAATTAACACATTCCAGACGGGAGCCTCTTTTAAGGGAGTCCTAAAGCGACAGAACATGGGTCAACACCTTGATGTAAAACTCGTTCCTAGCTCATCCTATGTAGCAGTTGCACCAGTCAAATCTTCCCCCACCACTTCTGTGACTGCTGCCGTTTCATCTCCTCCTATGGGCAGTGAGTGATAGTCTATTACGATGCATGATTTGGTGAAATGACCACAAGAGAGCACGTAGCATCCGCTTTAACCAACCATGGTTATCTTTTCCTTTTGCCTTTTCTCTTTGATACTTTGACTTAAGGGAGGAAAAGACAAAAGTCCCACTCCAAAACCAGGCTGTGGATCCTTTTTATTACATTACTTTTTTAATGTTGGAAAGCTATTAAACAATATTTTAAACAATATTCTGTTTTCTGATTGTTCCTCTGCATTGCTTGTTTCTTCCTTTTCTTGCAGTTTTTTGTTCCGCTTTGCCTTTTTGTTTTGTGGGGGTTTTTTGTTTTTGTTTTTGCTTTGTCTGGACATATTATTGTTATTCCTTTCCTCTCCTCCTGCTCCTTTGAGTCTAAACTCTATCACTCAAGTTTAGATGTGAGATTAGGCCAAATTAAAACTCAGGAAGTCTCCTTATTGGGGGTAGGTTTAGGATCCTCTCAAGAAAGGTAGGAAGGGAGCTGTGTCCTTGGGTTCTTTACCCAAGGGGACCTGTCCTACATGAACCAGTATTAAGCGTGATCAATAATAATAGTCATTTTGGTTGTCACTGCGTTATTAGCTGGCAGCGAAAGCATAAAAACTAGTTAGCTGTGAAGAGAGGAAGGTAGATAGTTCAAATGTAGAAGGCCAAGCATCCTTGTTAGTTCACTTTTCAAGGACTTTAAAATCTGGTGTTAAGAATCAGTTCACATACGGGAAGGAGAAGTATATGAAAGGTTCAAAATAGCTTCTTTTTCATTTACTAAAATTGTATAGGAGTTTCTGGAGAGCAGCCCTGTTTTGGCCTCTCCTCTACTAAGTTGCCCAAATTCAACTGGAACTTTTTTTTTGGTACTGGGGATCGAACTCAGGTCTTTGCGCTTGCAAGGCAGGCGGCGGAACCACTGAGCTGAATCCCCGGCCCTTGGCTTCTCCTCTAGTCTGATTGTTTTACCAATAGCCAGTCCCTCGTGTCTCATTTTGCACAAAAAGTTTCAGGCACCCCTTTCTTGGGCATCCTTTCCACTGGAATCCCATCACCTATCAAGCTAAGAGCTAGTGTTCTCTCGGGTAAGCTGTAGGACTTTTGCTAATGCCTTTCTATTCCTGACCATTTTACCTTTCTCAAATGGGAGGCAGAGAGGAGAGAGGAAGCAGCCTTCTAGTGAGGAAGGAGGTCCTTTGTATTAAACATATTGTGAGTTTCAAATACCTGAGTGTTCAGTTTGTCCCTTCCTCCCCAACTCCCAACCCCACACCCCAAACCTTGGACACAAGATGAAGAAAGAGCAGTTGCATTGCCTGTGGTTCACATGACTGTGAGCTGGCCTAGTCTTGGGGCTTTTTCTTTTTAGCTAACTGTAAGTGTTCTGGCGTGGATACAGGGATGTAGGGGTAGACAGAGATACCTACTGTCTCTCTCGGCCCAAAGAAAGCACTAAATATGTCTTTCCTGCAAGTATCCAAAAACCTCTTGCTCTAATCCATCATGGTCTCTTAATTCCTTTGTCATCTCCTCTCGCCATCCCTGTGCAATTACCTTCTGTCCTTTTTAGTGAGCCCCCTCTGGTTGGAAGAGTTAGCATCCGATGCCCCGGTGATTTGACACAGCAGGAGACTAAGAGGCAGAGTCCAGTGAGCTCTTGCAAAGGTGCTAGTACTCAGGGTCCCCCAAGCCCCCAAAGGTGAGAGGATCAGAGACAAACCACACCTGCTCTTTCTCCAGCTATGCCTTCTCACTGAGATTCTGGAAGTTAGAGCCATGTATTTTAAATCCCATTCCAGATCTCCAAATAAATGCAACTGAGTCCAAACTTTATTCTGTAGATCTCTAAGATTTCTCTCCAGCAAGCACTTAACCCTTCTTCTCTGCTGGCTTCTGAAAGGGAGTAGAAAAACACAGGATTCTAGCTGACAATGGAGTCCTCATCTGACCTCTCCCAAGCTCCACAAAGAAGCCCTTACACTCAGCTCTAACCCAAGGGCCAGTGGGGCTCCTGACTCATGAAAGAGTTGCCCTTCAGTCAACCCCAAAGGAGACATTTCCCGGAGGCTCTGAGAAATGATGTCCAGGGAGGGAAGGGCTAGTTGGCTGGGAGAAGAGTGTACAAGGCTTTTAGCACATCCGCTTCACTGGCCCTGCCTTGTCCCATGCACTGCTCCATCCCAGACATCACACTCCAGCACGGGGAGATGCCAGCATTGGTGGGCTGGTGGTGACATCCTCTGTGCCTGCTTATTAGCCTTTGTCCTCTGAGCCTGTGCTGGGGTTGAGGAGCATTCTGGCACAGCCCCTGCTCCCTACTCCTCAGCCTTTGCTCACCACAGGACAGATGATGCCCCTGGCTCTCTGACTCTTCTTCTCAAGCTTCCCTTACAGATGGCTGGTTTCCCCTTAGACTCCAGGAGCCCTGCAGTCTAGCTGGATGACTATTGCTTGCTCCCTCAAAGAATGTTTCCTTATCTTCCTACCTACCCCTTTGCAACTCATTTATCTCCCTCATTTGTCTACCTATAACAATGCTACTGGTTACTCCAGCAGGTGAGAGGAAAAGCCAGCAAACAGGGCTCCTGGGCCTATTCCAACCCTAGTTTTTAAAAAACCTATTTTTTATAATGGATTCCACATATAGTTATTTCAATAAAGTATTCAATTTGTTTAGAAAATAGAAGCAGAAAGTTTAAAAATCACTGGTATAAAGACAGTGAACTGATGGTATAAAAGGTACCTGCCTTCCTGTAGGACTCATTAGAAACTTTAAGATATCAAGAGCGGACAAAACACATGGGCTGTTATCCTGCAGAGGTGAGATGGCTTTAGACCTGTGCCTTGGCCAATGGGATCTGTACCAGGGCCAAAGGAGAAGGCATCGTTGACTTTGGGCTCACTTAATCCAAGTTGTCTCGCTCTAAGATTTGATGTAGGGCATCTGAGACCTCCCTGAAGGTTAGATCCCGCTCCATTCCACCTAATCTCACCCAGGTCTGGAGCAAAACCAATGTGATGGTAAAATTCACCATCATGTGGTCAGTGGGAATCATAAAAGGATGGAAACACAGGGGCTCCCTTCTGTTCTGCATGGCGAATGTGCACCCGGGTTCCTTAATTCTTTTTAGCTGAAGTGTTGAGTGGCAAGAAGTCCTTTGCTGTAAGCTCTGAGCACCCTCAGCCCTGGGTGGGCCAAGAGGCTGTGGAGAAGTGAGGTGAGGTGAGGTGAGGTAAGCCCCAGCCCGCAGAGACTTAGTCTCCCCAAGAGGTGGGACCTGCAGGGCTGATGGTGAGGCTGCCTTGCCTAGTATTCTGGAAGGTTCTATACGATGACAGGAGGCACTGGACAGGAACTCCCATTTACTGGTCTGTGTGTGTGATCTGCTGCCTCTACATTCTAGCCTCTCCCCAAGAATATATTTTTACTTGAACAGTAGAGGAATGAAAGATGTACCCTGCTGCCCCATTCCTCTGTCCTTCACATCCTCCTCCCCACCGTAAGGATTTCTCCTGCATTACTTCCATTTCTTTCCTATGGAATGAAGTTTCCGACAAGGCTAGGACTAGCCACCTCTCCAAAACTAAAGCGGTCCTACAATTACTTACCTTTCCCTGGCCTCCCTCTCCAGTATCTCTGGGATCCAACCTTCTCCTCTACCCCAATTCTGTAACCCCAGAGAGACCTACAGGTCAGAAAAGCAGAGCTGCCAAAAGAGCTGGTGGCTATGGATAAACGGGAGCTGTTCCCAGGGATCAATTATTGTCAGTTTTTTCCCTCTAGACTTTGAATTCCCTGAATGCCTTCCTTTTTTGTGCAGTAGAACAGACTTTGACACAGGGCACTGCATTTCCTTTTGCCCAATAAAACTGCTAATTGTTTTCCTGCCCTCTGCCCTCTGCCCTGACAGAAAGGCTGCTTGTGTGTAGCCTGCCTCCTGGATCAGGTTTCTCCCTGGTCCAATTCTTTCCCTTCTCCATATATGATCACACTCTTCCCAATTTGCAAACAGCTAGTGAGAGCAGCGCGATTGGGCACCATGACTACAGATCAGGCACGGGCATGCACTTGAGTTGTGAGAGCCAGGTTTTCTTAGCAAAGGCATCTTTTGACACCTGCATTTCACCTCCATCTTCTAGGGGAAAGCACGAAGGATTCCAGGGAGGGGACACAGTAGAGGCTGTGGGGTGTAAATTATATGCATGTCTTCTTTGACTGGGTGGGCAGTTTATTCAGTTGAAGAGTTTCAATGTCCTGCATGCCACTGAATGAAGACTGGTTTGTCTGCCTGGCTGCACAGGATCTATCCATGGTCACTTGTCACCTGATTTGTATTATGTGCAGATTGATATATGTTGGCTCTTTGAGGGTTTTAAACAGATAACTACATTTCCGTGTGTCCTTTTTTCCATTCCACATTCACAAAATGTTTGGCCTCAACACAGAAATCCACACGTGTGAATCATCTCTTAAGTTTGGCTATTAATTGGCACCTAGTTCCAACATCCTAGCCCTCTATCCAAAAGAACTAATTGAGTCTTTTTGTTTTCTGTTTCCTTTTAAGAGTGGATTGCTTGGAATGCTAACTTTGCTCTGGGTTTTCTACTTTTTTAAAATAGAACTTTGGAAATGTCCTTGTTGTTTTCCATCACTCACCCCAGCCTAGTGCTTGAATTTGAGCCATGTAATGTTTCCTTTCTTCTTTTTTTTTTTAAGGTACTGGGGATTGAACCCAGGGCCTCTGCACTGAGCTATATCCTCAGCCCTGTTTTGTTTTGTTTTTGAGACAGGGTCTCACTGAGCCATTGAATTGCCCAGGCTGGGCTTGAATGCACAATCCTCCTGCCTCAACTTCCCAGAGTACTGGGACTACAGGCATGAGGCACTGTGACCAGCTTGGCCATGTGATGTTTATACTGCCCCATGATCTCTTACATAGTTGGTTTTGGTTATTGAATGTTTTATTGCTTGGATTTTGTTTCATTCCTCAAACCATTAGTTCCTTGTGCTGCTGGCCAGTTCTCACCTCCCCATTTTCTCATCCTCCTTTTCCTTCCCCCGGTATAGATCAAAGTGGTCAAAGCATTCCATAGCTCCCTCCATGAAAGCATTCAGAAACCCAAGAACCAAAACTCCATCCACAACTTCATGACCCACCCTGAATTCGCCATAGAAGAGGAGTTGCCACGAACACCACTGTTGGATGAACAAGAGGATGAAGATCTTGAAAAGGTTTCTAAGACTGGGACTAGGGTGCTCCCGCTGGATGATGAGGTCACCCCACATGCTAACCAAAACGCCGATGTGGTGGACTGCAACCAAGTACACGTTGTTGGCTCCCATTCGGACAGCCCTCTACAAAACCTGGAGACGTCGGTTTGAACTTTCATTCTCTGACTCCCACCCCTGTTGTCCCTATTTCCTTTTCCATCTGTCTCATCTCTGAGGTGAGGATGGGACTTTAACTGTCATGCCAGCTGCTCCCACGTGTGTGAGAACCCCCAACTGATGAAGCAAGAGCACAGACCTACAAGGATTTCAACTTAAACTTGAGTTTGTAGCAGGACCCAGTCAAACCCCAGGCCGGTAACTGTAGACTCTACTCCTTGGGGGCATCCGTTGTCATTGGTAAAGGAATGCTGCCAGCCCTCCTGGCATCCCCCGACCCAGATCCTCCCCAGTGTTCGGACATGTCCCAACTTCTGGATTTTATCCTCTGAGTCCTGCCATTTGTAAACTGGGGCTTTAGAGACAAACTTCCACAAATGAAATTTGTGGATTTAAGGATAGAATGCATAAATAAATCAGCCAGCAGAGTATTTTAAAAACCACTTTGAAAACTTACAACTAAAGGCCTCTAGCTTTTTCTGCCCCTAATGTTCTTTTGGACTTTTGTGATCCTTATCTTCCATCTCTTCGCTTTTTAAAAAGTTAGGAATTTAAGAGAATGGAAAGGACGTAAATTGATTCAACTTTGACCATTCTCCTTTAGGGTCCCCATAGAACCCTTGACTTGGTTCTAGAGGCAGATGGGTTTCTTTGCTAAAAGAGTCCTTTTGAAGCCATTAATAACTGTTAAGATTGCTTCCCTGTTGTTGCCAGGTTAGTGTGTCTTCTTCCAAACTGCTGTGTTGTCAGGTGTGTGTGGTCCTTAAGTGCCAGGGAGAGCAGTCTTGACCATGGATCATACAGATGTAATACAAGTGTATGCAGTTTTTGCTATGGGCCTGAGCGTCTTTGTGTTGCTAAAGTGGTGGCAAAAGAATGCATTTAGTATGGTGCTGCCTACTAGTTGGTCCTGGAGTTTGAGGACCAGAAGCTGGCAGGCCTAGGACAAGATAGACCGTCAAATAAGACTTACGGGGTCCTCCTTGGGGTAACTGCTGCTTTCAAAGCCATCTCCAGGGCTCTTCCAGGGCAAGACCTGATTGTTGAGGGAGTATTGAAAAGCCGAAGAGTCACGCTGGCAGGGTGTAAGGAAACCTCCCTGCAGGCACCAGAAACCTTGAGCTTGGGTGCCTGGGCATCAGCTTTGACATTCTCTTCAGTTTCCTAATTCTGCGCTTTGTGAGGTCTGTGGTTTGTTCAGACTCAGAATGTTCCGGCCTTTTGCAAACATTCTGATTTTGTAAATAGACCTCCAAAGGGGGAGGCTCCCATGGCATTGTGCCGACTTAAGGAGCAAAACACCCATCCCGGAGAGCCCCGCTTCCTCTTCCTCCTCCACCTCTCTCTCACTCTCTCCCACATTCCCTTTGAGTGCTCTCTGCAGTGTGCTCCAGGAAAGCCCTGTGCCATCTTGCCCTTCTTGCCCCTTGTCCACCTGCCACTCAGGACTTGAGGGCTTATCTGAGACTTTTACCAGACAAGGTGGAGCCACATTTGCAGGAGCTCCATTTTATCCCTGCTGATACTGACTTTCGCTGTGGTGTGAAGGTGGAGCTGACTGATGTCCCCGATTCCCACCTCCCCTTAGATCAGTGAAGCCCACCCCCGCCCTTCCAGAGTGTTGGGAGTAAGGAGGAGGCACTAAGGCTCTTAGGGACTGTCGCATTTCCATCTGGGAAGGGAAAGTGGCCTGAACCTGTCCATCCAGCCGCTTCTTCTAGATCCACCCTCCCTTGGCCCTTGCATCTGAGTTGTCCTAGGTAAGAAGAATAAAAAAAAAATAGCCCCTACACATCATCATTACTAGTAATCCATCATTACAGGGAAACAACTTTGAGTTTGGTTTTTTGAGAGTTAACATGTTTCGGCAATCTTTTCTCTGTCTTAAATACCCATGGGGAAAGAAACCAGCTCACCCAAGGTGTTGAGTGTTCACACACATATTTAGTAAGTACATTGGAAGATTTAATTCTGTCAAGTCTTTTATTACCTCAGATCATCTAAAGAAGCAAGCCAATACCAAGCTTTGGAGGTCATTTTACCATTCCTGCCCCAAAAAGACTCTCATGGTGCCTGACAGGTTACTCCTGAGGTCTTGTGTCTACTTTTTTAAAGTCAATGGTGTGTGTGTGTGTGTGTGTGTGTGTGTGTGTGTGTGTGTGTCTCCTAGTTTCCATAGTAAGAGAGAAAATATAGAAATATTATGCAAAAAATATAGTTTTCTTTAGATCAGAAACTGATATTTTTGAGTCAGCCATATGTATTTTGTTTAAACGATTTAAAATAAAGTAAGTGCCGTCATGTAACCCTGTGGAAGGGAGCACATAACCAGCTGATTGACATGACAGGTGACTTAGTATATTTGTAATTGGTTTAAAAACCAATACACTGTACTTCCTTTCTCCAAACAGCCATCTTTATACTTAGGGGAAAAATTTGTTGGGTTCTAGACTTTTAATATAAATTGTGTTGATATGGAATTAAGTTTAAGTGTTTATGTGGATATGTTTTTATATATAAGTTTTTTCTATTCAGTTTCAGTGATCCAACCGGCAGTGAGTAAATATGGCATAAGTTAATAATGCTTTTCCCCAAAATGGTGCTTTGGATTTTAAAAGGGTCTGATGGGAAGAAGGAGAAAACATCAGCCTAGATTCCTGTCTTGATAGCTAGGAAAGTGAATAGTAAACTGTGGATAGTGAGGAGAACATCCAACAAAAAGAGACACAGCTGTCAGAAGTGAATGTGTGCCCCCGTCCCGCCCTGTAGAGATGAACCGCCAGGCTGTTTTGTAGCTAGTGGTTAGGATTGGGGGCCTTCTATTGGATTTGTGTCTCTCGAGAAATGAGCTAGCAGAGTGGTACCAAAGACAATCTCCTGGTCTGCAAGGATGCTCTCATTTGTAGTTTGCGTTTTTTTATGGTTCTCTCACTCCTTGATCCCCCTGGAGTTTTCCATTAATGAGTTTTTGTGCAAGGATCTGAGTTGTGATTCCTTCCTCCCCTAGAAAGGTCTTGTTCAGTACATTAGATGGGAGACAGAACACCAAGTAGAGAAAACCATGGCTGGTTCTAGTCCTGGGTGACAGCCTCAGGGCCGACTCTTTCCCATAGGCATCCTCTATCCTCTGAAATGACTCTCCCATCCCTGAAAATATTGAAAGAAGCCATCTAGAAATCCGTCCATTTGTGGATTCTTTAGGGTTTGGGTTTTTTCTTCCCTTTGAGCTAGAGGGGAGAGTTTGCACAGATAAATCCGAGCGATTACCTCACTGCCGAAAACCTAGAGGGCTGTGGCAAACACGAATGTGCTGGAAGACCTCTCAGTGTAGCTCTCCTTTCTTTCCTACCTCCCTTGCCTTATGATTGAAGCCACCCGTGGCACCACCCGTCTGCACACATGCTCACCTTTCAGACCTAGGGACCACCCCACTGCACTAGTGGAGGTGGGCACTGACAATGCCTGCTGTTAAGCCATTCCGGCCTCTTCCTCAGAGTTAACCAGCCTCCCTCTTCTTTAGTTCAGTGCCAGGACTTTTGCCTTACCAACTCTGCAGTTAGACCTGCTGTGCCCTTTCTGCTTTTCTTTCTATTTTATAATTTTCCCCTGGTACTGGGGATTGAACCCAAGGCCTTCACACTGAGCTACATGCCCAGCCCTTTAAAAAAAAATTTTTTTTTGTTTTTCAGACAAGGTCTTGCTAAGCTGCCCAAGCTGGGCTCAAACTTGCAATCTTCCTCCCTCAGCCTCCCAGGCATGCACTACCACACTTGGCTCCCTTTCCTCTTGATTAGGAAAGATGGAGGGAGATTAGCTCCCTTAAATGAATCGGCCTTTCGTTCACGTTTTCTCCCCATATGTATATATGCCATATGTGAATATGCCATATATATATATATGTGCCAACAAATCTATCCACGTTGTTCTTTTCAAATCAGCACGCACATAGGATTTTGAGTTTCTTCTTTGCAATCACTAGTATAACAAGCACTGGTATTTTTGTACAAAAAAGAAAACCAAACAAAAGATTGACTATTGTGATCTGCATGACAAACAAATGGTGGTATCGAAGCAGTGTTTCCCCTGGTGTGTGCGGCCATCATTTGCAGTTCAGCTTAACAGCGTGCCTGATCTGTATTTGCATTTTGATATTATTTAAACTCTATGTACAATGTTTTGCATGTATTTATACGGTTCTTAGGGGAAAATGCTATGAACTGGCAAATCTGAAATTCAAATGTGTTGTTCCACTGAGACGGGAAGAAAAGAGGAATTTCAAAAGGAATAATTTCTTGGAACCAATAAAGCTTTTTTGCTGATGAGCAGAAACCAGTACTGCCATGCACTGAGAATAAAATCCCATGCCCACTTGTAACTGCTGTCCTCACTGTGTCTCTGTTTGCCACTGACTGCTGTCGTGTTAAGAAGGCTAGTGCCACGGCCACCCTATCGGAGCAAGCACAGAACCCAGCTTGTCCCTGCACCCTGAGGCACTGCCCGTGGGGGCACCCTGCCTGATGCCAGTCTCGCTCCCTCAAAGTGCAGCACAAGCTCTGTCTGCTCTGCCCACTGAGGTAAGGGTGGTCAAGATCCCTCCCAACTCTGATGCCTTTTTGGAAATTTAGTTACCTTTAGTTGCTTTGACCGCTGAAAGTCCACCTTGCCCCCTCATCTCCCATAGCTTTTTTTTTTTAATGGTTTTATTCTTTGAACCTCTAGCACTGACCCAAGTTTCAGGTCAAACAGCTTCCTAACAGGTTATTTACATTCTGAGATTTCATAGCTCAGATAACTTCTTCCTGCAGCTCTCACCCAGGTGCACAACCTCCCTGCTCTCTAAAAATACCACAGGTTGAAAAGGACCTTGTCCGCTCCCTGGGTCCCCCTAGGACACATGTGATGCTGAAGGACACCCCCACTCTCCAGCAGTTTCCACAGCCTGGTTCCTCCTTCAGAACCAGCCTTGGCTGGAGACCGTTCCTGCAGCCAGAGGGTTTATCCCTTTTCTTGCCTCTCCACGGGCATGGACACAGCATGCACTTAGTTTAAGATAGAGGCTAGGAGACCAGGGATTTAGCTCAGTGGCCCCGGGCCTGCCTCACAAGCGCAAGGTCTTCATTTCCATCTCCGGTACCGCAAAAACAAAAATAAAAACAAAAAAAGATAGAGGCTAGGAAGTCATTCATTTGTTCATCAAAATAAATTTTAGAGGGCTGAGGACTTAGCTCAATGGTTCCGCCACTTGCCCCACAAGTGCAAGGACCCGAGTCCGATCCCTAGTACCAAAAAATAAAAATAAATTTTAGTTTTCTTTTAAAGTGGCCAGAACTTAAAAACAAGAATCATAAAATACAGTGGACCCTCGAGTTACGACCAGCCTGACATATGAACAACTTGGGTTACAGCTGGAATTTTAGTTTTAATTTACTACCAAAATCTTGAGTTACAACCCGAATGCCAGCTGCTTGTGCTTCCAGATGGTCTCAGATACAGATTTAACCCTTAGAGAGTTCTGGAAGGAGCATGACAACAACCTTTCCTGTGTGGAGTTGAGAAATCCTAGGCCAGTGTCTCTCTAAGGACTGAGATCTGCCTGGAAGAAAGTGTGGCCTAAAATTATACAGGAGAGAGTTGGAAGGTTCAGTAGAAGAGCCTGACCAACTTGAGTGTTCCGAACAAAATGAGTTTGTAAGTCAAGGGTCCACTGTAGTCACAACAGAACTAAAGTTTAATTTTTCCATTGTAAATTCCCTCCTAAACATCCTTACTAGAAAGCCAGGAATGATGGTGTATGCCTGTCATCCCAGCACTGGGAGGCTGAAGCAGGAGGATCAAAGTGAGATCAGGGACAGCTTGGGCTACGTAGTGAGTTCAAGGCCAGCCTGAACTACATAGTGAGACCCTGTCTCAAAAAACCCTTACTAGAAAGGATGCAACACGAGTGCACGTGCCCAAGCGTAAAGTCCTTTCTAAGGCTTGGCCCTGTTTTCCCCTATTACTCTCCCATCTTGTCTTTGTCAAGCCCTTGATTTGTGCCCCTCTGCTACACCAAACAGCACATCCACAATTCAACCTTCTAATCCTGTAACGCAGTAAGGAAAGTGAAGACCTCAAAAATGTCACTCTGGCAGAGACCTTGGCATCCTGAGACATTGGCTCAACATAATCTAGAGGCTGGGTGAGCCGCTCCAGCCCAGGTGACCCTATGAGGAGATCACGTTCTTTTCTTCCACCTTCCTCCCTACTCCCGTTATAGAAAATAATTGTTTGGGTCTCTGTCTTAGTAATGGTTTGTAAGATCTGCTTTCTTGGCTATGATATCCTCTCCCTGTGGCCACTGGGTTGGTTCAGCATGTTCTGCTAAACCTGCCTGGTTCCCTCCCAAGCGTACATGTGGCCAGGCAACTCCCCGACTTTGTGGCAAACCCAAAGATGACTCACTGGTTACCAGCAAGACGGTTACCAGCCCCTGATCTGGATCTACTGGGCCATGGGCCTCTGAGGCCAGGAAGGAGGATGAGAAGTCCGCGTCCCTCACCGGCAACTAATTTGAGAACTCCATTATAAATTAAAATGCAAACATGTTACTGTCTCTGTGCAGTGTTATTAACATCACTTGCCTCCGGTGTGAACCTAAGCCATGAAAGGTAAGAACCTGCTGGATTTGTAGATCTTGAAAAGTGGTTTCTGGGCCCAGTGTTCTGATGTGGGGCCAGCCATCCACAAGTCTTTACTTCTCTAAACTTTTTTTCAAATAACCCCTCCTGGCCCAGCACTACATCCCTGTCTTTAGAAGAAGAGACGTGGAGGGCACTTTGAAGTGGCCTCCTGCTGCGTCTCCAGAGAGGACGGTGTCAAAACCGCAGCAGCACTTTACAGTTGCTCACAGTGAGAGGTTAAGGGTCCATACACTCGGGAAGTCCAATCCCAACCAGAAGTGTAACTTCTGCTCATGAAATCTAGGAAGGCAAATACCAGAGCCGAATGACCATGCCATCACACAAGGGTGTAGCTGTCCCTACTCGGAGACAGACAGACCTAGGGCCTGTGTCCAAGCTCATGCTACTTGGCTTCCCCAGTGTGCCCTGTACCAGGCCACATTTACTATCTCCTGGTGCTTGCTTTTTCTAGGTGCAGCACAGTTGATTAAGCTGCTATGCTAGGCCTAGGAATATTGCGTTGGGAGACTTTGACTTGTGTTTTAGAACTCCAGATCTTCATGTTTTGGCCTGTCTAATGTTTGTTTGTTTGTTTGTCGTGCTGGGCATGGAACCCAGGGCTTCACACATGCTTGGCAAGCGCTTTAGTTAGTATTTACAAAAACTTACTTGAAAGAGGAAGTAAGGCTGGCAAGAGAAGGGCAAGAAAACATCAACTGCCTTCAAGCACAGCTGAGGAGAACAAAACCAGACTGTGCTCATCCAAGGCTGAGCTGAGATCCCCACGGGCTCCCTTCAGAGCTCTGAGCCGGGCTGCTGCTGACCAGTAGGAAAGGGAAGGCATTTCACTGCCTCTGCTCGCCCTCTGATAAAGCAGTCGAAACACACAACTAGAGACGAGGAAGAGTGTGATGTTTGGCAAGCGAGAAGCAGGAGACCCGTGCCCCACGAGCCCAGCTCCTTCACTGGCTTGGTTTTCCCTCTGTAAGATCATCAGACTAAATGAATGATTTTCAAATTACACTTGGAAAATCAGGAAGAGCCTCCTCAGAGTTAATTCAGGGTCCACTGGTGTTCAACAAAAATAGCACTTCTTTATAACCGTTTTGTTTTTTTTTTTGGTGCCAGGGATCGAACTCAGGACCTTGTGCTTGCAAAGCAGGCAGCGGAACCACTGAGCTAAATCCCCTGACCTAAAAATAGCACTTCTTAATGTTTTTGGCTTCCATGTCACCTGTAACTTTCTGTTTTGTTTTGTTTTTTGAAGCGGGGTCTCACTATGTCCAGGCTGGCCTTGAATTTACTAGCCCAAGCTGGCCTCAAACTTCTGCCAATCCTCCTGCTTTGGCCTCTCAAGTGTTAGGATTACAGGCATGTACCATCATGCCCAGCAACTGTAACTTTTAAAAAGTGACTTTAAAACACTGTGAACTTGTTCTTCTCTAAGGTCCCTGCCAACTCTGAAATGATTATGATTCCAATTTTTAAAAACAACAATAAAGCCAGGTGTGGTAGCACATGCCTCTAATCCCAGCACTAGAGAGGCTGAGGCAGGAGGCTTGCCACAAATTTGAGGCCAGCCTGGGCTACATAGTGAACTCAAGGCCAGGCTGAACTATATAATGAGACCTCATCTCAAAAAAGAAAAAAAATGCTGAGGTGATCCAAGTTAGGTGACAGTATAACAAGTTATATTTGTCTACACCAACCTAACTGGGATCCTGTTTCAGTATCTCCCATTTTAATTATCAATATATCCACATATAAAATACATAAAACAGCCGTCACTGTCCAGCCTGTCAAGGCTACTGTGTAGCGGATTCTGCAGTGCAATGAAAATCCGCTTTGGAATTTGTTTTGAAAAGAGCAATAGATTGGAAACCTAGAGATCTGGCCCAGTGGAATGGCCTAAAATTGAGGAGGAGAAGCAAAACGTGTCGCTTGAAGTAAGGTGGAAAGAGCCTGGCTGGGGAATTAGGAGCCTGGTGTCATAATCCTGACCCTTGCTGTGAGTTTGCTCTGTGGCCTCAGGGTCTTTCCGACTCTGGTACCGCCTTCCTGTTCTAGTGTGTGATGGCTATTAATAACCGCCAGAGAATGTCTACCTGAACTTCTTCATTGCTTTTCTCCTCTGGAATATCCGTGTGTGTCAGACGCTGCTGCACACCGCGACACGTGCAGACAGCTTCTCTAAGCGTAGCCACTTGTGTCTGCAAAATAGGTGAACTGCACCACACCCTTGAGTGCAAGAAATGTGTTTCTTTCCTAAAATCCGGCACTGAACTAGCTCACACTCACCTAGATCTGTGAGAGACGCCTCTTCATCATCGTGGGTGCCCTCGGCTCCTTCCCTGGGGTAATGGGCACCTCATTCAGGCAACAAGTCCAGGGTCTATTGTGCCAGGCACTGTTGTCTGTACTGAAGGCAAACAAAGCAAAGTCCTTGACCTCTTTGTGTTTACCTTTGTGGAGAAGAAACAAAATAAGTAAATATATAGCATGTCAGATGGTGAAAAAGACCAGGGAACAAAGAAAGGAAAGGGGCACAAGTGCAAAGGCCCTGGGGAAGGCCACAGAAGGGCCACAGAAGGAAGCTAGGATGGCGATGATCCATCTTACAGTTTCACAGAGTCGTGCTGCCTACATTTAGGGGGAAATGGAAGGACAGTGCAGCTTTAGCATGCGTGCCTCATGTGAGCCTGACCTCCTACTAAGTGTAGGTACAGGGAGGTCCAAGCCCCACTGTCATGCTCTTGTCCTATGACACACAAAATAGAAAAAACAAAAGCTTGCCCCCCATAAATTAAGTGAAGAGATATTGCTTGTCGCTCTAGCCTGCTCAGAGCACTCTGGTCAAAGAAGCAACACCTTAAATGGGTGAAGTAGTCTACTTATACCTTCAGGGCACAGTGAAGCTGCTGGACCTATTCTGTCCTCCCTCCATGTCACATCACAGCCCAGTCCCCAGGCAGGCCCTCTGCCCGCCTCACCTCCCCCTTGAGGCCCTGTGACACCACCTGATCGCTGCTATCGAGGCTACCCCACCCTTCCAGCCAGGACCCAGGGTCAGCATCTGCATCCATGAGCCTGGAGGAGGGAGGGGAGCTTCGGGCGGCTAGCACGGGGTCCAGGGCCCCAAGGAGCAGTGGTGGCCTCAAGGAACACTAGGAGGTTGCCAAGCCCACAGCTGCAGAGGGACCAAGGAGGCAGGGCCTGCTCTGCCCTTGGGGCAGCAGACTTGAGGAAAGAATGTTCGTATCTGTCCCTGACACCTGCCTCCCCATTAGGGCTGAGTCTAAGTGGAGAGAGAGAAACTCCCCCTGGTCTGGTCACATTCCTGTCTTCTCCAGGGCCTTAGGTGGTATAGGGCAGGGAAAGGAGAAGGGAGCTCACAGCTCTAAAGAAGGTATTTGCTGCCTTTGGTTTTGTTTCAGGCCTGTCAGGACCAGATCAGCAAGTGAAGTTGGGGTCGGAGGTGCAGCCGCCCTCCCCAAGGGCTTCCTATGCCATCCTATCATGCCTGTCCCTGCCCCCAACCTTCAAAAATAAAGCCTGGCTGGGGGGGCTTGCCTCACATAGGGCAATTTTGCCAAATTTTTTGGCCCAGAAATATGAGAGCTACTGTGGATGCCTTTGTGGGCCAAGGGAACCAACCCAGAAGCCAGGCTGCCCTCCTGTGAGGCTGCCTTGTTTCTGCAGCTGATGGATGCACAGTGGGGAAGAGACCGGATTTTGTCCCCAGAGTCTCCGCCACCACACATGAGGTCACAGACTCACGGCTGCAGCGAGTGTCCACTGCACAGAGGGCCAGCTGAGTTGAGGCCAGGCATTGACCCCGGTGCCAGAGATGCAGAAGTGAAACCCAATCCCTGTCCTCAAGGGTTGCATATGGGGAGACAGATACCGAAGACAGGAACCCCAACATGGGGGACACTGTCCCAAAGTTGCATGTACAGTGCTGTGGGGAGAGAAGAGCAGAAAGGTCTCAAGAGAGGAAGACTTTGGTCAGATTTTTCTTTTAATAATAAAATTTGCAAACTTCATCTTTTTTTTATGGGGTACCGAGGATCAAACTCAGGACCTTGCACTTGGGAGGCAGGTGCGGTGCCACTGTGCTAAATCCCCAGCCCTCTTCCAAGTCTTAAACTGTGCATTCTTCATTATTAGTCCAATTAATTTTCACTGTAACATTACATAAGAACTCTTTTTTTTTTTGGTACTGAGGATCAAACTCAGGACCTTGCACTTGCAAGGCAGGCAGCGGCACCGCTGAGCTAAATCCCAGGCCCATACATAAGAACTCTTATTGTCATTTTATATCCAAGGAAACAACCACAAAGAAATGGCCAGGCTGGGCATGGTGGCACACACCTGTATTAGGCACTATATTGCACAGAAAATAATATAGGGCAATATAGAAATACAAATGACATAAAAATGTGGCCTGGAGAACATGGAATTTATCGATACAGTAAAAATCAGCGGTGTTAGCAGCTAGGCCCAGTGGTACATATTTGCAATCCCAGCTATGAGGGAGGCTGAGGCAGGAAGATCCTGACTTCAAGGCCATCCTAAGCCACATAGCAAGACTATGTCTCAACATACAAACAAGCATACACACAAATAAACAAAGAGGCAGCCAGATCCACTAGGTTTTAACAGAGAATGGGGACCCCAGAAGATGCTATTAATGGTGCTGCTGTCTTCCCAAGGAGGACTTCGGAAAAGTCTTTGGTACTAGCAGTGACACTGCAATAGCACACAATCCCCTGCTCCTATCAGAGGACTTTGCTCACCTTGATATATAAATTAAGTCCATTTAAAGCCAATCTTAATACTTTATACTCATATGTCACCATTAAGCCCTAAAATCATTTAAAATGGTTACAAATGAACACTAGAGCGATCAGGTTTAAAACACACTCTTTCCCAGGATGAAGAGTTTCTTTCCACTCTTCTGATGAATCATCCTGGAGCCTTATTTTGTTTTAATGAATCAGATGGGCTGGGCCTGTAGCGAGGGGAGGGAAGGGAGGGGAAGGTGCTGGAGGGACCTGGAAGCCTGAGGCGCTGCCTGAAGCCTGAGCAGGGGACTCTGTGAGGAGGTGGCTTTTGTCAGGTGCAGGGCAGGAGAGGATGGGGTGACTGATCTGACTGCAGCAGGCTGGCCAGATAAGTGAGCCCTGATCAGACTGCGGGAAGTGGTTTGGGGAAAAAAAACTGTTTTTTACGTACAAGTCAGTGTTCTGAGGTTTGCTCTGCCTGCCTGCCCTTGTACCATTTTCCAAGTTCCTGGCTCACACACTGTCCCTTACTCTTCTAGTGGCTTAGAACACTGGCCCCAGGCACCAGGCACCCATGCAGTGGATCTTGTGAGGGGTCCTGGTTCTTACTCAGCCCTGATCTGAAGGACACATGGACAGAAACCCAGGTTCCAGCCCCCAAACCAGCTACTATGAAGCTGGATCTCTTTCTGCCGTGCCAGGTCAGGATTGTAGGTTGGCAAAGCCCGCTGGAGAGCTGGCCAGGGTCCATCTGCAGCTCCCTAGGGCCCAGTGAGAGCCTGGACAATGCAGGGCAGGGCTGAGGACCCTCAGTGTGCACAAGGAGGAGATGTGAAAGAGGCTGGTGTCACCGTTTCACTGTCATTCATCTGGGATCAATGAGATCAGAGAACATTCTCACAACAGTTGTTTTAAAGCGGCACTGAGGACTGAATCCAGGGCCTTCACACTGAGCTACATCCTCAACACCACCCCCTCCCTGTTTTGGCTTTGAGATGGGGGTCTTGCTCAGTCATTAAATTACCCAGGCTGGGCTTGAACTTGCAATCTTCCTGCCTCGGCCTCTCAGAGTGCTGGGATTACAGGCACGTGCCACCACACCCAACCTCGTGACAGTCTTAGAGGCCCCTTCATGTTGGACTCTCCCAAGATGTAGAGCGTTTCTGGAGAGGAATAGAAGCAAGAGGTGAAGAGAGTTCGAAACAAACTTTGAACAATCTTCAAAGCTTGGGATACTTCACGTAGGCCCTGGGGACAGCCCACCCAGCGGCACCTCCAACACAGCACGCCATGTGTGCCTCAGAAAAGCCCTCCCCACAGGACAGCACATGCCTGAGCCCCAGTGGGCAGCACTGAGGAGCAGGGGCGGGACACGGCCCGCGAGGCTCTGTTAACCAGGCCTCAGCTCTATTTGCAGGCAGTATCCAGACCAGAAGTTCTCAAGGTGCTCATGAGACTCAGACCAATTCCGCCAACATCACCTGGAAAGAGTAGTTTTTTGTTTTGTTTTGTTTTTTCTCAACCTATGGCAGCCAGGAAGCAGAGACTGGAAAGTGTAGATTTTAAAAGCCTGCCCCCTCTGTACCAGAGCTCTGCCCACGGAGTCAGATGCAGGCATGCTTTAGACCTACTAAAAGCACTGTGACCCTGGAGGCTTATAAATCTCTAAAGGGCTCAGAAACCCAGGGGCGGGCAGTGCAGTCCCCCTCTCCCCTGCCCCACTTCGCATCCCATGCACCACAAACCCACCTGGCAAGCCCAGGAGCAGCAGGCTAAAGATAGGCTTTCTTCGATCTATCAAGAGCTGCGCAGCACTTCCTGTGCCCCCTGCTTCATTAGCTCATTGGTGGTGTTGCTTCCTGTCACTGACTCGCTGTTTCCATTCTGCCAAAGTGGTTTGCTGTTTTCGCTCTGCTCCGGGGGTTGGAGAAAGAGGAGTTTCTCACAGAGCCTCTCCTGGGCCTGTTGGCAGCTTGTCCCTCTGTGCCCCTTGTGTTTCCACCAGAAGGCAGAGACTGAAGACTGTCCCTGAGCCGCCTGGGAGCCCCTGCACCCGATGAGCACTCGCCTCCTGCAGCAGGCCTCGCAGCCAAGCCAGGTAGAACCAACCTGTTGTTCTTGTGTGTTGAGTAAACTCGGCCTGACATTTCCAGGGGAAGCTCAAGGTTGGGAATCTGTTGGAGGAAAGGTTCCAGAACAAAAGGCTAGATGCCTTAGAAAGGAAGAAATGAAAACCAAAGACTTTTTTGTGAGGGACTTTGGTAAATGAAGATTTTAGGAAGAAGAAATTTTGAGACTAAAAGGGTAGAACATTAGGGAGTGTTTGCAGACATGGCGATTAGGAGAAATTCTGTCATTCTTGTGTTATCCCCTAAAAAAAATTAAAAATAAAGGTGGTTATATGGAAACTGCAATCCAACTTGCCTTTTAGGAGCCAGCAACATAGGAAAAGTGGCAGACATTCTGGCTGGCCAGTTATGACCGAGACCAGAAGTAGAGGCTGAAGCCGGAGAGGACTGCAGAGGTTCCCACAGGATGGACACCACCCCATCCCCCTCAGACATCACCAGGAGGACGCTGGATCCTAGCACTCTGCGGGTGACTTTCAGCAGCCTGGAAGAGTGAGTGAATCGGGGTGAACTCTACTGGCCCCTGATTAGACACTAGGCCACGGTCCAACCTGAAAGGCTTCTAACCCAGCTGAGCTGCCGCCCCAAGCAGCTAGGCACAGGTCCCTGAGGAGATGCTGCGGGAGGGAGAGCTTCAGGCTGGATTTCTCTCCTTTCAGAGGCCCTGATTTCTGTCCCCAAACTTTCCTATCTCAGGTCCCAATATGAGGGAAACAAAAGGCGCAATTTCCCAAGGATTTGTTTTTAGATCCTAAAATCTTGCCATAATGTAGTAATAGATATAATAAAGGTGTGTCTTTAGAACATAAAATCTCACCAAACCAATTACGGATGTAAATTCAATGCTACTGGTTTTAAATCTCAAAAATAAGAGTTACATCAAGAGTTGAAATTTTAGGGACACCACAAGGTATATATTTCAGGGCCATGATAAAAAAAATCCAATTATAATAAATTTTTAAATGACTATCATTTGGGGAATTAAATGTTATTAACAGAGAAAACATGTTACTTGCAGGTAAACATGGGCACTGATGAGTGAATTCATAAAAGGTGTCAGAAACCTGAAGTACCCCCTAAAAATTATTGCTTTTATTTTCCAGTTGACAAAAATTGTATGTATTTATTGTGTACAGCATGTTGTTTTGAAATATGTATATACCGTAGAATTGCTAACTCGAACTAAGTAATATATGCACTACTTCACATATTGTGTGTGTGTGTGTGTGTGTGTGTGTGTGGTAACACTTGAAATCTACACTAAACAGTGGTCAAGAGACCACAGGAGTTTTCAACAAAACTGCTGTACAATAGAGGTTTTAAATTTGTTCCTTCTATCTAAATGAAATTACAATAGAGATTTTGGATTTGTTCCTTCTATCTAACTGAAATTTTGTATCCTTTGATAAACATCTCTGTACCCCCTCCCCCGCATCCCCTGGTAACCACTCTCTACTTATGAGTTCAACTTCTTTAGATTCTCTATATAAGTGGAATCGTGCAGTATCTGTCTTTCTGTGCCTGCTTTACTTCACTTAGCATAATGTCCCCCAGGTCCACCCATGCTGTCACAAATGACAATAGTATCCACTGAGTATGTATAACACGTTTTCTTTATCCATTCATTGGCTGACAGACTCTTAGATTGATTCCATGTTGAAGCTTTTGGGAGTGTAGACACACTGATCTCATTTACCTTCGCTATATACCCAGTAATGAGACTGGTGGATCTTACAATAGCTCTATTTTTAATTTTTTGAAGAATTTCTATACTGTTTTCCATAGTAGCTCTAATACCCTCAAAATGATTTCCATAGTCATTCTTTTATTTATTTATTTTTTCATTCTTTTATTATTAGTAGTAGTAATAGTAGTAGTAGTAATAGTAGTATTTCATCTATTCATTTGTGTAATGAATATTCATCAGGTTCCTACTAAGTACCAGGCACTGTTTAAGACACTAAGTGAACATTACAAAAAAAAAAAAAAAAAAAGACGCTAAGTAAACAAGACAGATGAGAGATCATGAACTTTATGGTCAAGGGGGGGGTGACAGATGACAAACAGATAAACAAATGAATGCATAATATATTGATCAATCACAGTGCTTTGAAGAAAAAAATACAGCAGCATTAAGGGAACTGTGAATAACAGCGTGGGCAGGGGAGTCCTATCTGAGGAGGTGACATTTCAGAAGAGACTTGAATAGAATGTGCCATGCAGACAGCTGCCAGAGGAAGGGTCGGGGAGGAGGGACAGATCTGAGGACTGTGATTTGCCTGGGCACAGAATGGCAAGGAGTGCTGGCAAAGTCCGAGGGAAAGTGATAGGAAAGAGGTCAAGAGGTGGGAGAGGTTGGGTCCCACGGTGCCGTAGTCTCCTCTGGGTGAGGACTGCAGACCTTGAGTGTGATGGAAAGCCATGGGAGGAAGGTTGGCAGGCAGAGGAGGGACATGATCTGACTGACTGCTTTCAGCGATCACACTGGCTCACGTGTGAAGATGGTACGTTGGGGAAGAGTAAAGGCCAAGAGAGTCATTAGCAAGGTTATTGCAGTGTCCATGTGGAACACATGCTGGTGGCAGTGGAGAAACAAGAGGCGACTGGGATAAGGTAGATGCCCGTGCCCAGGTCAAAGCAGACAGAATATGCTGGGGCATGAAAGAGTGCAGTTAAGAATGACATTGAGGGCTGGGGATTTAGCTCAGTGGTTTTGCCGCCTGCTGTGCAAACGCAAGGACCCGAGTTTGATCCCCAGTACCAAAAAAAAAAAAAAAGAATGACATCGAGGTTTTTGCCACTAAATAGCAGGAAACACGAGAGGAAGACAGGTCTGGGGAGGGAAAACAGTTCTATTTCGGTTTCAGATGTCTGTTAGGCAGGCTGGTAGAAATGTCCAGTAGTAAGTTGAGTAAATAAACTTAAAGCTCAGGAGGACAAAAGGCTTCCCTGGCAGGTGTCCTGGTTTCTACTATGTTTTTGGTACTGGGGATCGAACTCGGAACCCTACACTTGCGAGGCAGACAGCGGAACCACTGAGCTAAATCCCCAGTCCCCGGTTTCTACTTATTGAGGGTAGCAGATCAGCTGCCGGCTCCTGCTGTATCTTCCATCAGCTGCTTCCTGCTAGAGGAGGCATAGCCCCCTGGGATTGTGATCTGGCTACTATTCCACACTCAAGCACATGGAGATTAACTCCAGCCCTGCCAAGGAACCACAGGCAGCACACAACTTGCACTGGTTAAATTCCACCTAACAGCTGGGTGTTGCTTGGATACCCGCGGCACAAGTTGGGGTTACTCAAGTTCATACAAGCTGGCCTTTGTCACCGAGCCACTCCCTGACCGTGAGTCGGGTAATCCTCTCCTCCAAGCAAGCCCGGAGGCCTGGAAGCAGGGAGCTCGGGAAACAGAGTGGATGGATTTGACTTGGCGGGTTTGGAGGATGGCGTGGGCAGTTGAAAAGAGCATGATCTTGGGATCCCACCAGACCTAGACTCACGTTCCATCTCTGCGCCTCCTACCTGTTTCATCTTGGATGTGTTACTTGCTCTGGGTCTAAATCTTGGATTCCTTGACCACAAAGTGAGGCAGGATTGTTGTGAAGGTTAAATAAATTGCACATGCAAACCTCTAGCAGCCGGTAGGAAGGGACAGTTCCCTTCTCCCCATTCCACCCCTCTCTGCATGTGCTTGCTGTTCAGAGATGATCCTCTCTTCCACCTCAGCTGTCCCTCATCCCAGTGCTTGGGCTCCACACGCACAAGGCAGTGTCTTCCCCAACCTCCATTCCAGCTGGGACAGTGAAACTTGTCCTTTCTCCTAGGAATAAAGACCAGAGCAGCAGCATCTTTTCTGTGTTTTCGGGACTCCTCGCCATCCTCCTGATCATCACAGCTTTCTGCATCCTGTGGAACTGGAACAGAAGGAAGAAGCGTGGGTCCCTTGTTTGCTCCAAGTTGAAACACAGTGGCATTAATCTGGCCTCCTGTTTAAACCCAGTTGATTTTCCAGCAATACACTTTTTTTTTTCTGGTATGGGGGATTTGCCCCAGGGCCTCCACATTGAGCTACTGCCCCAGCCATTTTATTTTTTATTTTTTTATTTTTGTTTTGGGTACTGAGGATTGAACTCTGGTCCTTGAACTTGCAAGGCAGGTGGCAGAACCACTGAGCTAAATCCCCAGCCCATTTTATTTTTTATTTTGAGGCAGGATCTCACTAAGTCACTAAGTTGCCCATCCTGGCCTCAAAGTTGTGATCCTCCTGCTTCAGCCTCCAAGGGTGCTGGGGTTATGGGGTTATGGGGTTATGGGGTTATGGGGTTATGGGGTTGCACCACCACACCCAGGTCCAGCAATAAGCTCCTGCACTGGGCAGTCCTTGGTCATTTGGCACCTGGTCTTGAACTGTGGCTCTAGTGCCACTGGGAAAGACCTTACCCTGGTGCCCCTGTACCCAGTTCACTCTTTCTATTTCTGTCTACTTAGTCTCCTGTTCCTCTAGCTCAAATCTAATAGTATATTTTTCATGACACCTGGTGAAGGTGGGGAATATCTCCAGGGTCTCGTCCCCACATTCGGTGCAGGTGACCCCTCCATGACTCGCATCTCTCCCATTGCCTTGCAGGGCAAGTTCCTTACCTTCGAGTTACTGCCATCCCTTCACTGACCCTGCCTCAACCCAGACAACGAGCCAAAAATATTTATGACCTCTTGCCTCGCCGACAAGAAGAGCTGGGTATGTTTCTCCTTTCTGAACTTCTGCTCCCAGAATGCACCTGTCACCACTTGGAGGCCATTCTAAGCTTCCACGCTGTTCTGCTGTGAGTGCTGGGATTGGAATGGAGAGGCTGTGGGCTGTGCCTGCTCAGAAGGCAGCAGAGAAACAGCTGGGCTTGGGGCTTTGGTTTTCTTGGTGCTGAGGCAGAAAGCAAGGTGTGCCCAGGCAGTGGAAGCACACCTGAGGAGATCATGGTGCCAGCATTCCTGGAAGAGGATGGGGAGTCCTCCTCAGGAGCCTCCAAGGAGGCATCCAAGGCTCAGAGCACATCCTCCCAGTAGCTCTGACCTTCTCGTCACAGAACACCAGGGCCCAAGCTGAACATCCCAGGCACTGCACAAACCCCATTCAGCTACCATTCAGGGACTTTTTGGGCGGAAGTCCTGAGAAGACTGCCTATCTTGAGGATTCATGTCTGTCATTTCAGGGAGACATCAGTCAAGAAGTATCCGTATTTTCAGCGCTGAAAGTCTCATCTCCAGAACCTCTGACATCCCTGAGCATGTGGTAGGTGTCAAGAGAAGGCCTGGGGATGTAGATCAGGGCTAGAGTGCTTGCCTAGCATGCACAAAGGCCTGGGTTCCATCTCCAGCACCACAAAAAATAAAATAAAAATAATTAAATGAAAAGGCACGCCTCTTGACAGAATGACAGGTGCCTGGCAGGAGAACTGAGGAGATGAAGTCTAGGTCTCAGATCTGATTTCACCGCAGACAGCACGTCCTTTGGCACTTGCCCTATAGCCCTATTAATAAGGGGAGAAGACTAATGTCATGATCTGTTTATTGTACAAAGAGAAGAATTAAAAAGGACAGGAGCCAGTGTTTGGTTTTAAGAAAGGTACATGTGGCCAGATGTGGTGGGACACACCTACAATCTCAGCACTCAGGAGATTGAGGCAAGAAGATCAGAAATTTGAGCCCAGCTGAGGCTCACAAGTTACAACTGACTTCAGCAGTGTAACAACTGTTTAAGGATGGAAGCATTGCTAGCAAACTCAAGGATCAAGAGATCTAAACCACTGCTTTACAATTCTTTTTGTTTGTTTGTTTCTTTGTTTGTTGGTACTGAACTCGGGTCCTTGTGCTTGCGCAGCAGGCAGAGAAACCACTGAGCTAAATCCCCAGCCCTACAATTGTTTTTTGAAAGAGAGTGAGGAAAATAGATCAATGGGCAAGTTAGAGCACTTCTCAGCCTGCAAAAGAGATCACCTCCAGAGATAGAGTCAGGATAATGGCTTGCGAAGTTCACCCTGGGTCCTAGGGCAAATTCCCTAAAGCATGTATGTGATCTACCTAATCACCTAGGGAATCTTCCCTAGCTGCAAGACAAGGCTAAGGTTTACTTAAAATCTGTTTTAAAATTTCTGTGTTTCTATATCTGCAACACTCATGAAACTCACAGATAAAAACTTAGTGACTTAGCAAGAACCTGACTCAAAGTAAAAAATTTTTAAAAGGCTAGGGATGCAGCTCAGTGTGAGAGCCCTGGGTTCAATCCCCAGTACTGGACCCTTCCCTCCAAAAACAGTAAGTCACATGTATTTAAGTACCTGATGTTAGAACTGCAATTGATTATTTTAACAATAACATTATAATGTGCTTATCCAAATGAGTGCTCTTCCCTTCAAAGTAGTCAGCTCAGGAGGGTATTCAAATATTCCAGCAATGCTGTTGATACTAAAAACACACTTAAAACCCTGCTTTAGAAATTCTAGAGCCTGTGTCATTATGGTTACAAGAGGAGGTCACACCTGATAATCATAATTCTGTGTTTCATGATTTGCCTCTGAAGGCAGCTCCCAAGGAGTCCAACAATAGCTCCAGAGACATCAGAGACAGTAGATGGACCACTGTGAAGATAGGGGCACTGACTTTCGTAGATACACAGTTTATTTGTGTAAAGTCCAGTCCCCGTGATTGTGTGGTCTTCCTTGGGTAAGTGTGATGCTGCTGCTGCTGTTACTCAGCCTCTCATTACCCAGAGGCTCAGGCTCAGTCACTACACAACTGCCTCATGTCACCATCTTTGCTGCCTCTTCCTTCTCCCACACATTGGGCTCTGCTCCTGCCTGTCACACTTCCTGGGTAACAAGTCCGAGTGGCTGAGCAAGGGCAGAGAAGAGGAAATTCCATCGCCAGAGCCAGTTCCAGGACTTGGGGGAAAGGGGAGGCATTTAGAGCTTAAGCCTAGACTGTCTGAAGCCCACAAACTGTTTGGTTTGGACTCTACAGTGTTTGAAGGACATTTTCAATCAGTTGCCAACATTTAAAAACTGAAGACATTTCACACCTTGAAAGTCCAGGTGTCCAGATTTTCTAAAACTTCACAAGTTCTGGAAACATCAAATCATCATCCTTAAATGCCAAGAATCAGCTGCATCTTTTTATCAGCTGTTCCTCTTATAATATTAGCTCAGAGGCCCTGCACCTGTCTCACAAGGGCAAGGTCCTAAATTCGATCCCCAGTACAAATAATAATAATAATAATAATAATAATAATAGCAAGTATTTTTCAGTGTTTTTTTTGTTGTTGTTGCTGTTGTTGTGTTGTTTTTCCTCTTACTTGGGATCTAACACAGGGAGTGGTGAATTATTCCCCTAGCCCTTTTTTATTTTAAGACAGGTTTTCCCTAAATTCTTCAGGCATCCCTGAACTTGCCATCCTCCTGCTTCAGCCACTTGAGTACCTAGGATTACAGGTGTGCACCACCATGTTCATTCAGTTTTTAGTGTTTTCTAAGTGCCAGGAGCACACTTTATACATAGTAATCCACTTAACCCTCATAAAAACCTTATAAGGTAGATATTATGATCATGCTCACTTTATAAATTAGGAAATGAAAGCACAGAGGGATTTGGGATTCAGATTTGCAGCCTGGTCTGAATCAAAGCCTGCATTTTCAGCCACTCTGTTCTATAGCCTCACAGTGTGCTCTAGGGAGACGCTCTCTCCACTGCATGAGACTTCCTCCCACTGCCCACTGAACCCCCACACTGTCCCCCAAAACCAGTGCCATTCATCATCACATTTGCATAAATACTTTCATTCAACCCAGCCCACTTCCCTCATACCTGCCTGGCATCAAGAACCTTGCAGTTTGACACTCCAGATCTACAGAGCTTTTCTCTCAGGTGAAGGACCGAGGGAAGGAACCACAAGGGCAGGGCAGGGCATAGAAGAGAGGCTTTGTCTGCATTTGTGCTCTAGTCTTGTCATGTTCTCTTCTTCCTCACAGCCCTCTCAAGCAGATGACACCCTCCAGAGACACCAAGCTCAGGTCCATGCTGTGGACTATTCGGTGGGTGTCTATGACAATGCCACTGTGCCCCGTGTGAGTGGGAACCTTGCTGCCTCGGCACACTACATCAATGTCCCAGCTTCCCAGGATGGCTCGAGTATATCTTCAGAGGAGACAAATGATTATGTCAATGTCCCCACAGCAGAAGAGACTGCTGAGATGTTAACTTCTACCAACAGCCCACCTAAAAATGTCTTTGTCCTTCCAAGTGCCCAGGAGCTGGAGTGTAATGAGGAAGGACACAAGAGCTGTGGGAACACCAGTGATGGCACCAGTTTTGGGTTTCCAAGACCTGAGGGCAGTGATCCACTCAGCGATGGGGAAGGTTCTTCTCAGAGCTCCCATGACTATGTCAACATGACAGGTTTGGATCTTGGGGACATCCAAGAGAAGGAGCCCTGGGTGGCTTTTCAGTGCTGCAGAGACTATGTAAATGTCCCAGCAGAGGATACTAATGGAAGTCAGCAGCCTGAGGAAGAAGAGACATCTTCAAACACAGACTATGGAGAGGACAGGACAGATGGTCCAGGGATCCACATCCAACCTGTCACAAGGAGATCCCTGTCTTCCAGGTATTTTGTGGCCTTTCAGCTGTCCTTACAGAGTGAGAACAGCCAGATGACACATGGAGAAGAGATGTCAGAGGAAGACTCAGATGACTACGAGAATGTGCTGGCTGCTGAGTTAGAAGGCAGGGACTGGGAGCAGGGACCTGGCACTCAGCTCCTTCCTGATCAGTGAATACCTAGGTACCCAGCTAGGTGGAGCTGTCTGTCCTGCCAGGTCCTTGCCACTGAAGAGTCTAGTGAAGATCCCCGAACACCACAGTGTTTCAGTAGATTCTGCTGGTTAAGCTAACCAGAGGTTAAGAGAAGTGGAGAGCTAATAGGCTGCACAAAAGCAAAGGTTTGGGAAAGGAATTCTAAAAATAGGCTATTTCTCATACTGACCTCAAAATGTTTGCTGAAACTGCTGGATTGGACTGTCAGGAAATAAAAAACATGATAGTACTTAGCACACAGTGAAAGTTTAGACTGAAATAATTACCTTCATTAACAGAAGCAGCTCCAAAGCAGGAGTGTAGATTGTTTTGTGATCCAGGCAAAGACCAAAGGGAAGGAAGAAGTAGGGGTGGGGTAGGCAATTTCCATTTTACAAAGAGTATAGACAACTACACACGTCTCCTCGCTCTCTGTACTAAGAGCACTTGAAAGCTTTTGGTTTCTAAATGCTATTCTCCAGTACAATCAGCCAGAGTTCTTGGAGAAGTGACTGGTTCTAGGGCTGGGGAAGGGAAAATACAGGATGAGCTTGTGTATATTGAAGAAAAGGAGACAGAGAGAAAAGGAGAGAGAGAGAGAGAGAACAAAAGCAGCCAACTGAAAGAGCTCCCAAAGACAAAGCTAGAACAAGGTTAAATAAATGAATAAAATAGATGAGTTTCAAATAATATATATAGAAAGATTGAGGGAAGTACAAAATCATGGTGAAGATACTACAGAACAGATGAAGATTTGCTACAGGCAGATCCACTCATGAACACTAAAATTAGAAAAACTTTAAGAAGAAACAAAAGTGCATAGCCTCAAAGAATCTCCTTGAAAATATTTATTCATTACTGTGGTGATTTTAACACACACCCTCAATTATCTGATACTCCCCTTGGAGTTTAATCTCCTCCCCTTCAGTGTAGGCTAAATCTAGTGACGCTCTCTAACGGATGGAACACAGAAAGAGGGAAATAGTGATTTACAGGGAGAAATTTGGCAGACACTACCTCCACCAAGGGACTACAGTCAATTCATTGGGAATAAGTCGTGTTGTTATCGTGCGCCCCCCTGATATGATGAAGAATAGCACCCCAAACCCCATAACCCCGGGCTTATCAGAAAAATCCAAATTAAATAGCATGGCACAAAAACCTGACCAAAACTATTCAAAGTCTGAAGGTCAGGAAAGACTGAGAAACTGTCACAGATTGGCAAAGACTAAGGAGTCATGATGACTAAAATGCATCATGATGGCTTGGACTGGACCTTGGAACAACAACAACAAAAGAGGACTTATTGGAAAAACTAATGAAATTAAGAGATGTCCATATTTTAGCTAGTAGTATCATATAAGTGTTAATTCCTCCCCTCCTCCCTCCTCCCTCCTCCCTCCTCCTCCTCCTTCCTCCTCCTCCTCTTCCTTCCTCCCCCTCCCCCCCTCCCCCTCCCTCTCCCTCTCCTCCTTCTCCTTCTCCTTCTTCTTTTTCCCCCAGTACCAAGGATCAAACTCAGGACCTTGTACTTGCCAGGCAGGCACGGTGCCACTGAGCTACATCCCCGGCTGCAATTCCTTCATTTTTATAACTGTTCCATGCTTATGTAAGATGTTAGCACGATGGGGAAGTTGGGTGAAGGATACACAGGAACTATCTTTTACCTATTCTTGTAACTTCTGTAAATCTAAAATTATTTCAGCATTAAAAAATAATTTTAAAACATGGACAAAGGTGGAAGTGAAGCCATCTGGGTTCATCCCACTTGAATAAATTGGAACCATTCCATGTCTTTGCTCCTTCTGCAAATGGATTATAAATTATATGTTTGTGTAGTTGTTCCAAGTATTGTTTTCTGCTCTGTTTTATTAACATATATGCCCAATCTCCCTGCTGGTCTGCAGTCATACTGCCTGCTGGAAAATATATTGAAGTACTCTGTATTCACCCTTGCTCCTAGCACAAGGGTCAAAATAAAAGCAGTTTATTGATAACTGATGATTAATCAGGTGGTTCAGTGCACTCACGTCTATGTTTTATTTTTTTGGCAGTATTGTGTATTGAACTCAGGGCCTTTGCACTGAGCTACATCTCCAGCCCTTTTTCAGTTTTTATTTTTGAGATAGGGTCTTGCTAAATTGGCCAGGTGGGGCTCACACTTGAGCTCCTTCTACCTCAGCTTCCCGGAGTGCTGGGATTACAGGTGTGTGCCACCAAGGCCCCAGTCAATGCTCTCACTTTTGCTGTAAAATGCTGAGTGAGGTTCCTTCTGCTGTGGGATTCTAATTGTGCAAAATACCTCACATTCTGAATTCAGAATGCCACCAGTGGACAGTGATCAGCCAACCCCTCAGGCCTCACTTCCCTGCACCACATCAGAAGGCTGAGAGGGGCCTGAGCCTGGTCACAAAGAGAAGGGTCTCCTCCTTCACTGTCTCTGTCCCTGGAAGTGGTAACCATCTCCGGAGCTCTGCCCAGGAAGAGGGGAAGGAAGAGAGGGCTGCCAGGACTGAGAGATGGCTGTGAGGCAGCTGCTCCTGTCCCACTAAACATGGCAAGAGGAGGTGTGTGAGCAGGGGAGGGACCCTGGGCCTGGGCCATCTCACTGCCACCACTTCCACCATGACCAGGGACCCCCGGCTTGACTTTGTGATATGTAGACCATCTGAGGTGGCTTTGCAAGTACTTGGGTGGGACAACAGCAGATTGTTACAGAAATCTGATGACTCTGTTATGGGTACATTGCTTCAGGGAAATCAGATTCACCCTCTGTGATCAAAAAAACCAAATACTGAAGCCAAGCATGGTAGGACACCTTATAATCCCAGCTATTCTGGAGGTTTGAAGTCAACCTGGTATCTTAGTGAGATGGTGTCTCAAAAGAAAAATAAAAAGGCTGGAGATATAGTTCACTGGTAGAATGCCCCGAGTTCAATCCCCAGTGCTGCAAAAAGTAATAGTAATAAAATAAATGTTTGGTTTTGGGTGGGAGGCTGAGGCAGGAGGCTCACACAAGAGGATAGCTGTGAGGCGAGAGGGTATCCTGGGCTTCAGAGGGAATTTAGGGCCAGCCTTTCTCAAACATACAAACAAATACGTTGGATTTGTCCTCCATTTTTAGCAGAAGTACTGGTGGCAACCTAAGACTCTTGAGAGGTCTGAAGTGGGAGCAGCTCTAAGATATGTTGCGGGGTCTGCACTGACTCCAGAATTGAATTAAACTGTAGGGTATCCAAGTGGTGTTGGGACAGTTGGAGAATTGGCTGGTGTGGAAACAAAACCCCAAATATTTGGTGTCAAAAGTCTTATGAATGAAACCAGACCACTACCCTGCACATGGCCAGCACTGACCCAGGGCACACAGACAGCACCATGGCAGTGATGGCCAGTAGGATCAATGATTAGAGAATGATGGAAAAGAAGGATGGAGACAGGGACCAGATCAATCACTATTCTGTAAGCCACAAGAAGATACCTGGATTAGGGTTTTATTCTAGTTGTAGCAGGAAGCAATGTAAGGGTTTTGACTAAGAGAGCGATGTGATCTGGTTTCTGTTTTAAAAGCTACAGTACAGAGAATTTACTGGGAAGGAGCAAGAGTGAAGGGAGCAGGGAAACCAGTTAGGAGATGTTAACAGCCATCCAGGAGAGATGGGATGGTGGCTTAGACTAGGGCGGAGGCTGTGGGTGTGGAGAGAGGTGGATGCAATTGAGATGTGTTTTGGAGACAGAACTGAGAAGCCTTAGAGAAATCAGGGATGACTCCTGAGTTTGGGGCCTAAGCAAGTAGATAAGTAGCCATTTACTGGGAGAGGAAGACGGGAGAAACAGGTGTGGGAGCAGCGATGAAGAGCTCTGGTTTGGATATATTAGGCTTGGGATCCTATTAGTGAGCCATGTGGAGATGTCGGATAGGTAATTAGATGAAAATGGTGGATTGTAAGGGAGCCATTAGCCAGTATAAATACTATTTAAAGCCATGGAACTAGAAGAGGGAAGATGGAGAGGGAGGGCTCAGTCTGGAGCTCCGACAATGGGAAGATGGAATGAAGAGCCAGGAAAGGAGACTGCGTGCCCGAGACTGTGGGGGGAAGACCACAAGTGTGTGTGATCAACAAGCCATGAAGAGAGTGTTTCCAAGGACAAGTGGCCAACCGTAGCCAATGACACTAAGAGGCCAAGAAGGAAAGCGCAAAGACGTGTTCCGTGGATTTGCCAAAACAGGTGACGTGATGGCTTCAGTTTCTCCATTAGTAAAATAAGTTGCTCTGATGATGATTATAGACAGTGTATATCAAAGACATCATTAGCTTGAGTTCAAATGATTTCAGTTTTGTAGCTATATTCTATCTGTGGTTCTCAAACTTTATTGTTTATTAGATCACCTGGAAGGATTGTTTAAATCCAGTTTTTCTAAGTCTGAAGATGTAGTTCAGTGGCAGAGCACTTGCCTAGCATGTGGATGACCCTGTGTGTGAGCCCTAGAACCACCGAAACAAAAGAAACCAAATCCAGTAGATCTGAAGTTGGCTCTGAGAATTTGCGTTTCTAATAAATTTCTAGATGTTCCTGAGCCCCTACTTATTGGACCAATGAGAAGTTGCAGTCTTCTCTGGGGATTACCTTCTTTGCTTGTTTTTGAGAATCCCCATGGCAACAGTGTCCACAAATACTCCTGATCACTGCTCCAGGTCCCTGAGCTTTACCATCCAAAACCAAATCCCCAACAGCCCCTTGGAGATGACACTCAAACCAAGTCACTTATGCCTTCTGGCCTCTTCCCCGGCCATGGGCAGTCAGCACCTGCTGGCACTGCTAATAATAGAAACACATATCCACTGCTCAGTAGAGCTGAAAACCTGTCACAGCAGTAGGGTCAAGTTTCTGGCTCAAACCCCAGAAGTCCTGAAGAAATAAAAGTAGTTTACTGACTCCTAAGGGTCTTCACACAGGTCTCTGTATGTTTCTCCAGACAGTGAGACTTTTGTAAAATGAAAAGGAACACACTCCACCTTCAGTAAAATTAGTCAGGCTTTCTCACAACAAAGACCACTTGTCTAGTCTCCAAGTGTTACTATTACAGACTCAAGAGAGTCAAGACAAAGATGAAACACACTGCAACTGCAGGCGGAGACTCGTCTGTTGGAAGCTGGGCCTCAAGATAAAGACAAGATGATCAGACCTGCATACTTCCTCAAAGGACAAACATTGGGCCTAATGAAATTTAGATAGATATCAGCCACCCTGGTGGGTAACCAGAGACCTCTGGACCCACCATTTCCTAGGAAAAGTCTTTATTCTTTCCAAGCATGTTCTTTCCATGCTTATTACATGACTTGTTTCCCAATTAGACCACTATTACCTAAGTGACTGTACTTGTAACCTTATTGGTTAATCACAGCTATGGCCCACATTGTATCCACATGGGTTTTGCTCTATAAAACTCCACTGTAAAGTGGGATCCCTTGGATACCCACTGGGATTCCCTCTTGCCTCTCAGGAGCTATCCTATCAATAAATATCTTCCTACTCTTAACCTCTGTTGTTCCTAGAATTCATTCTTCAATTTTTAGAAAACATAAGCTTGGCGTAGCAGACAGCAAACAGGTTGGGAGATGTAATATTTTATATTTCATCTCCAGTATTATTTCCTGTATTAGTACAGCTCATTCATTTCATCCACATAGACTCCTCCCTCCTTCCACCTTTGCTCTCAGGAAGTATCATGTACACTGCTAAAAGGGCTCTCCTTCAGACCTTCCAGTGATTCAATGGTCCCAAAGCCATTTATCCTTGTAGGTATGTCCCTTTGGGGAATCTGATTATCTTGTCTTAAAATGAAACTTTGGCTGGGCCTTCCCAGTCCTTCAGACATGTTTATATAGCCTTAAATTTTCATGGGATCAGAGTTCCTGCTCCTTGTTTTGTGGTGTGACAGGTCAACTTCTGAATAAATATATGGCTATAGAAAGATACAATGGATTCCACCAAAATTTGTCAACCCAGCCCCAAAAGCAAATACATGCACTGGGGAAGGAACACTCAAATTCTTTTCAGCAAGAAAGAATCAATCAAGGATCTAACCACCCAAAACTTCCTGTTAGGCCTATAAAAACATTTAGCACATCCATGATACAGATGTTCAATAGACAATAGCTATTACTGCCTGTTTCTGCCCTAGAAACCCATTTTCTTCCCAAACTAGCTTCCCTTCAGGCTTCTCCTACCCACTCCAGGGTCAGAGATCTAATCTTAGCCCTGTTTTCTTCACACCCAGATTACTCTCAACTACTGACTACCAGATACTAAGTGATATTTATGGGTGGCTATTGTTTTGGGCTCTGCTCCTATAGGATACTAGGTCCCAATGAACCGTACCAAACTGGAACAGAGTCATTTGTGCTAAGTGCTATGTGATCAGACTGAACTTAGAAACAGGCTATTTTTCAAATAGACAGCTACCAATCGTCGGGTTGACACCTCAGTCAACTTGAGATAGCATGACAAGGAAATCCCTTCTCGTTAATCCTAGAAGAAAAGTAACTTTGAAGTGACCTATCCATTTCTTGTTTCTTGTCTCTGCTGTCTTCAGCCTTTTTGGCCTATAAAGCACACCCCTTTGATCAGCAGCTCACCAGAGCATCTTTCTGTTCATAGATGGGATATACCTGCTTCATTAATTGCTAATAAATGTCAGCTATATCCTTAAACTCAATTGCTAAAGTTTTGTTTTTGACACTAATTTCTGACATCTCTCTTCTCCAATCATTTTGTCATGCCATTATCCT